GATGATGATGATGATGATGATGATGATGATGATGATGATGATGATGATGATGATGATGATGATACGTAGTATTCATCCTATGTTCCATCATGTTCCATCCAATAACCACCCCTTCCGCGGTGCTGGCTTATGATCATTTATGTTTCTTTCAACCCGTCGTCGCTGTGCTTTCGACCCCCTCTCGCCTCCGTGGCCTCCGCGCGAAAGCGCACCTGCGGCGGCGCCAGCAGGCGCAGGACGGCGGCGGGACGCAAGGTGCCACTGCCAGGGAGGCGGAGGTCCTGAGAGAGCTGGAAAAGGTGGACCTGGATCCTTCCAGGCATGAACATATTCTTGATGATGAAAAAATATGCCCAGATCTAGCATGTTCATCGATGATGATCGATATACTTGATCAATGTCGCTTGTTTTCAGTCTGAGGTTTGGCACTGGCCAGGCGACGAGTGTGGAGACTTGATACCATGGCACATCGACCATCTCATCCACCCTCTGTTCAGTGTGAAAACCGAAAAGGACCCCGGCCCTTTCTTTTGGCATGCGTAATTCAACCACTACTCCCAGAAACGGTGGTCCACACATGCCAATGCCGTGACCCTCCAAAATCTCCAAAGCTCGTTTCGGTCGGATTTTCGGAACCAGTCACTGTAGCTGTGACACTGTCACTGTGTCCATTGTAGTGCTACTTGTCGGGCCTCCTTCAACACCTCCAATGCTGGTGCCTCGATTGAATGTCACAGCTGAGGAACTGAGATCTTCAGCGTGTCGACCAGGCCAAAGGTGGAAAACGGTTTCCTGCAAGGACGAAAGCGGCAATAGCAGGGAGGGGCGGTGTCCCTTCTACCACGCTGGCGACCACACCAGTCATTTCCAAGTCTTCCGCGACTGTTAACTGCTGCGGCCTGCACCTCTCCCTCCAGATTCTGAGCCTGGAAGAAGGCCAACCGGGCCGCACCCAAGGGACGCCAGCCATAAGGAACTCCCTGCAGGTGCTTGGCTTCCTGCTTCAAGGGGGAATATGGAGACACCCGGCTCCGAAGTCGCTCCCACTTAACCAACAGCTATAGCAAGGATCATAAGATTGCAAGAGGAGCCCAAGGCCTGCTTCATTGCTACTTGAACCAGCAGTGCCAAACTAGTTCCCAAAAACAAATAACACCAAGCCAACACCTCCTCCCACCCAAAAAGCGGGTCGGACGCTCACTTGCCATCTGAGCATCAAAAAGCCGCTGGCCACTTGCAAGGAGACACCCGTGGTCTCCCAGAGCTCTGAGGAGAGCTGCCAACTCCTCACCTCACCCTGCGCAGAACAAACAGCACTGAGTCGGCACCGGACGGTCTACGGGACCGGACGGTGAGGCTGGAAGGGACAAGGCGTGGGAACTGCACGGTTGCGGCGGGGCCGGTCTGTATCTGATGGGTCTTTGGTGTCCCAGAATCACAAGGCTTGCGGCATGTTATATCATGTTGCATAGGCCTGGGCCTTCGCAACTTAGACTTTGGAGTGAACTGGCGGTGACTGGCAGAAAAGCCAGATCTGAACACTTGGTGTACCCCGGCAACATGGCACCAGTACTGGCGCGGAAACCCGTACTTCAGCGTGAGTTCACCGTGATGCCTCTCAAGACAAGGATCCTCCCAAGTCATGGTTGGAGTGAAAAGCAGCTCAAGAAGTATCATTCATGTCATTCTAGTTCACTCTTCAAAAACAAACAATATATATGTATGTATATAGAATATAGAATGTATAAAATATAACATGATATTCAATATACACTATAAGTATATACTGGCACTCTGGTGACTTGGCTCTTGAAATGTAACCTTTGACAATACCTCTGACCTCTGACTTGTCCTATTTCACTGGAGGGCATTATATTATCAAGGAGATGCTGATCAGTTGCTCACACTCCCAAAAACTCCCAGCCTCAACCATCCCAACAGGTGCTGCAGAACCATCCAAAGGTCCCTTGCTGGGGTGCGTCGTCCATAGATAGAAGCCGTAGCCGTCGTCGCCGGACTCGTCGCCCACCTTCCGTCCGGTGGGGGGCCACTGGCCATGCGTGAACCAGTGCGTTCCCTTTGAAGAGGAAAAACAACAAATTAGCAAGGACTAGCTCCTGGCATTACTACTAGAGGCTACTCATCAGGAGCATTTCGGGCATCGCTACGAACGGAGCGAGATCTCGGACGCGAACCGAACGTAGCTCCGGCCGATGCGTCGACTCTGTGGGAGCAGATCCAGCCGTTGACTCGTGTGAGCCCAGAAATCGAACCCTCCAAATAACGGCATAAAAGGCTGGCATAGCTGTGCTGCACACATCTTCAATGACCTTGTTCCTGCGCTGTAACCAATGACCCCCCCTTCCTTCCATCATCCTGTGCCTCTCCCGTCGGGTTGGTGATCAGCAACTGGAATCCATAGCGCCACTTTCCCCGGAGCCATCCGCCCAGCTTCAACTCGGCACGGTTAAGTGCAGTTCCCGCAGTCCTTTGCCGGGGGGTTTGGCTGGTACTGCAGGGCCCTGGGTCTGGCAAAGGGCGAGCGCCTGGTAGCACACCTGGGCAAAGCAAAGGTAAGGTCGTCCTGAAACGCATCGTTTAGCCCAGGGCCTATACGCAAATTGTGGCATTGAAACTTGAAACGATACTCCGTGGAGACCCATTGCCGAAAGATGCTGCACTAGAATGACGAAGCAAATGCATGATCTGACATGCATGCGGTGAAATCACTGCACCACAGTCTAGAGCATCCAAGAATGCGCGGCAAGTCAACTGGGTCTTGCAGTCACAACCTACTAGGAACAAGAAGCTACTAGGGGCTCCTGGCCTCACTACTAGGAGCAAGAAGCTACTAGGGTCTAGGGTTTCAATATGTTTCAATACCATGAGACACTTGGTGACTCCCCGTGGCGTTCTTTCGCTGCGGCTCCAGCGGCCGTGGCGGCAGCCGGTGAGGTCGAAGTGCAGGGGACCGTCGAGCACCAGGCTGCCATTGGGCGGGACTTCTTGCAAAGGCTTGAAGAGAATGCTCAAATTGTTGGGGCCTCAGCTGGACGTCCACGTTCCGTCCTGAGATTGTTCAGGGGCTGGTTCCTTTTTATGCATTTTCTCAGATTCGTTTTGCCTCAGCCTCAGCTGATTTGGGCATCTTCTGATGTCCTTCACTCTGCGGCTTTTGTGCGTTGTGGGGCTTTTTTGAGATGTTTGATATTTGTGAGGATTTGTTCCACAACGGGGTCTCCTTCCCAAGCTGGCGGGCGGGGTCTCCTTCCCAAGCTGGCGGGATCTGTTCCAAAGATTCTTCCTCATCATGCTGAGGAAATCCTCAGTCTCTCTAGGGGTGTGGCTTTAGCCCCTAGAATCCTAGTTGGCAAACGACCATGACAACCTTCGTCCTTTGGTTCGATGTACGACCCGCGATGCGAGCGCCCCACCAGTTCCAGGGCGCGCCACCAACTGCAACCGGTTCCTGGCTGCAATTCTTCGATGACCCCACCAGCCCAGCCATTCCCTTCCTCCGAAGCACTCCCACGCCCAAAGGCGCTGGGTTGCAGCGTGGCCTCCAACAAACCCAACACTGCGACGCCGCCCGTCCAGAGGTCTTCGTCCGACGCACCTGGCTGACGACGGTCGGCTTCACCGTATTGCGCGATACGCAACAGAAAGTATCTCAGATCTCGTTCGAGGTCATCCTACGCAAGCAGACTGTCGAAGCCACATCCCCCTACAGTTGAGCCATGACCCCCAAATACCCATGAAAGTCGACTTGTGCCGCATTTGTTGCCACATCCTGCAATTCAAAGACCCCAGAACATGGCATTAGTCTTACAAGATGGCTGCAATTGTTGAAGGAAGAAAACCTATACCTGAAACTTGAAACCAAGGATAACAAAGGACATCCCGCACCTCTTGTGTAGAGAAGGGTGGCTTTGAGCCGGCCTGTCCTTCACATCCATAAAACCAGTTTCTACAACCCATCATAAGACCAGGGCACTGAAGGTCCAGTCCACCGAGTATAGCTCTCCTGACTCTGGGCGAGTGAATCCATCGGAAGAGGGAGATAGCTCCAGACGGACATATACATCTGACTATACAATACTATACATCTGTCATTGGTTTGATTTGGTTTGAAGGAACAGCCGCGGGAAATGAGGGCTTTCAACCCCAACATCTCCCAAAACTATGGGCTGCCTGTAGATGTTCAAACCAAGATAACCAAGTCTGGCAATATGCAAGTGCATGAGCACTTCTCGGTCAAGTCAACCATAGAGGGTGGGCTAAACCCCGTTTAAAACACGCCTGAACCTCGGTGTTTCTCGGTCTTTCTTATCCAAACTTGTGCCGCAACTTGGCTCACCTCTTCGTCCCAAGACTCCATTGTCTCGTTCGCCCCGGCTGCTCAGGCGCACGGTCCAGGCAGCAAGAGCCAAGGGCTGCGAGGGGTTCAGGAGCTCCAGCGCGAGGAAAATCGGCTGAAACAGATGCAGCCGGATTTCACCAAGCCTTGGAGCGGTTTTCACCGAGCCCCCTGTCCCTTTCCTCAGGATACGACAGGTCCTGCACCCCAAAATCGAACCATAGACTGGGGTACAATAACTATGACTCAGACTGCTGTGACCCGCACAGCCGTGAAGAAGCTTCCTCATGCAACCTCCTGAACACAACAAACCAGGAGTCATACTCGTGCGCGCGTCAAGCGCAGGCTGGCATAGTGTTTTTTCCCCACCTCTGCTCACGATCCACCGCCCCCAATCTGATCCACCGCGATCCACCATGATCCACCGCCCCCGAATTCTGACCGCCGAAATGGATCGTTTCCAGCTCCTTTTTCCACCCGAAAATGATCCGTTTCTGTTCCAGAGGAGCATCCTGTCCGGGCGTCCGACGTCTGGATTGTATACCTACTGTACCCACTCATTACTTGGGGGATTTTGCGCTGGACACTCAAGGTCAGGGACCCAAGCCACGAATAGAAGCAGCTGCTGGTGCCCAAGGCTCCCAGACCTTCGCCCTGGAGCGCGCCGCGGAGCACGTCCGGGAAGCCATCCAAGTCTCGGTCCTGGAGTTCGGTTGGGGGGGCGCACCGGGCGCCCCAAAGACAAGCAGCCAAGGGATGGGACACGGAGACAGAACGAGCCTCCCAAGAAGCTGAGGCACAATTGATTGGAATATGACATGCTGAATGATACTGGACATTGACATGAAGTGGCAGAAAAAGAACACCCACACTACGAGTACCCATCCCCTACGCATTTCCTACCCATCCCCACCCCGCCCGTGGTGCGCTCCAGCCGAAGCAAGGTCTCCAACTGCCCATCGAACACCGCCGCACCCTCTCCGCGCAGCAGCGCGGCGCCGGAGGAGGGCACCACGCTGGCCGGTAAAGGACCCAGCAAATCACAGGCCAGGCCTTGCGGAGGGAAGATCCTGAGCCAAGATCGAACGTGAAAAACAAAAGTCCCTTTTTGCGGATCGAACGAGTACGACCGGATTGGAATGAAGGATGGGATTTGGAGCGATCCGAGCACCTAGTGGTGAGGCCTCATATGTCTCAAATAGATCGACAAATCGATCGATCGACCGATAAGTAATACACAATAAAAAAGAACATAAGATGGATGGATGGATGGATGGATGGATGGATGGATGGATGGATGGATGGGCAGATGGATAGATTGATAATTACTGTAGATATGATTAGTTTTGTTCAGATTAGATAGACAGTTCAAAATAAATAGTTAGTAATTAAAGGTAGTTGAATAGATGGATGGATAGTAGATCGATAGATAGGTAGACTGATAATTAGATACATATACTGCACATAAATATGCATACATAATCATATTGAAAAATATGTGTGTATATATATATATACATAAATATATATATATATATATTATTATATATATACAGCGTTTCTCCTCCCAGTGAATTGTTAAATCAAATCTCATTTGGTGGCTTCCCGTCGATCCCGGCACGCACCACACTACAGCAATCAGGGGCCAAGGCACTCAAGGGTTGACGTGGCCCCTGTCGTAGCTGGAGGCTGGATCTGAGCATACCTGGGCCCGCATCTGAGCTCCGTGCACTTGTGGCGGTTATTCCATAGAAAGCTGTGAGACGGCAAAATGAGACGTGAGATAAGCCAATGCAAGTGGAAAAAAAAGCGGGAGAGGCTGGACATATATCACCCAGGGTAACTGGTGGGACCCGCTGAGTTCTGTAGTACTGTACCCTGTTTTGATCGTATATGACCATATATAGGCCTGTAACTAGGCATGTAGCAAGCCGAGAATGGCTCCCTTTGTGCAATGGCCCCGTTTACAACCAAAAGTCAATTGGCTGCTTCCATTCTCAACCAGCACCTCCCCACAGCCAGCAGCAACCCTGATAAAGAATTGCATCATGGTTATGGGAAGATGCTAAGATGGGTGGTGACCAAATTAGGACCCCAACATATAATCTCAACATATACCTAAAGCTCAAAGGATGTCAAAGCACGTATATTATACATCCAACTCCAACCCATCAGCCAATTTCCCCAGGCACACACACACACACACATTCTGCAAGTCTGACTTTTCTTACCTTTTCTTTGTTGGTCTAATCCACTTTATCCACAGAAACTTCCACCCACCACCATCCAAGTCCACAAACCTTCCAAAACCCAGGCACTCCATGTCATGTATGCCATATATGCCTACATTGACCCTCCCCAAACCACCCCAATGTAGGCAAATATGGCAGTCGCATCGCCTCTGGGAAATACTCCTAAATGCAACCGATGCTGCAGCCAATTCCTCTTCCCCACAAAGGGCATGGGCCCAAAGCCCTGCCGCCCGCTCCTCACCATGCGCGCCACACCGCCGGCGACGGCGGCCGCACTGCCCGGCGTCGTTGCGACACCCGAGGCGAAGTAGCCAGCAGCGAGGTACCTCGGTGCCAGCAGCGACGGCGCGAAGCTTTAGTCTAAGGCTAAGGGGTCCCGCCATCTGAAGCTTCATTAGATTATTATTCACCTTTCATCAGGGAGTGCAAAACAGGATCAAGGCAGAATCCACCGCCCTGTCGGAGTGGCTCTGGCTCAGTGTCGAAGACCGTGGTGACCTCTGCGTGGAGCAGCGCCGGGAACAGCACACCCACGGGCATCGGCAGGCCAGTCACCTGCGGGTGAAGACCAAGATCCGTTTTCATCTGCTGTAGCTCGGATTTGCTGGCCAGGAACCGGTAAAATCACGTACGAGTACCAGGGGATCTTGACCCCTAGCAAACCATGAGGGACAAAAACTCACCCGATCGGCCAACCCTTCAAAGGGGGGTTGAGTCTGATTTTTCATCCCCGGCCAAGCCCTCCAACACTCAAACGGTCTTGAGTGGTCTTGTTACGGCTCGGAAGTGGGGTTCTCCGGTTCGGAGGCGTTCAATACATTCTGAACATGTCTTAACCACCATGAACATGGTGGCGATGGGTCGACCAACCCACCCGAACTCCGTGGTGCTGGAACAAGTCTTAATGATATCGACATCAACTACAGCGGTTGACTAGCCGAACCGCTGGTCTCTACCAGCCCAACCGCTAGAGACATCTGGGCCCCAGATCCTGGGTCGACTCAGTGCCATGAAAAAACCGCCGTGGGCACCGTGAGGAGGTGGGCAGCGGCTGCAAGATCCACCGTGGGCAGCTGCAACTTGAGGATGGCATAGCGCTCCTGGCAGCATGCTTTGTTCGGGGTAACCGAGTCACTGATCAGCAGAGATCAGCAGAATCTCCAAAAACATCGGCCTAGGCACACGCAGCGAAGCCATATGGGCATATATTGGCATATGTGTGCAATATATTGTAATCGTTCATCCGCCAATTCACCTTTTCCCATGCTATGCTTGGTGAGGGAGAGCAGATCTGTTTTCTGTGTCCAACCCGTCACGGCTCGGCCTCTCCCCCGCTCCCACCAAACCCACGGAGCTCTTTCCCCACCCCATGGGAATCATCGAGGGGTCGATTTGGTACCATATACCGTACGCATTGGTTGTTCACTTGGCAGTCTTCCGCATCCCCCTTCCCTTTTTAGTCCACCAACCCAATAGTCAAAGGCCATCTTATGTCGGCTCCAGCTCGCTCTCGAAGGTCCGGGGCAAAATCCGTTCCACGCTGCACGTGCTGCTGCAGCTGCCCGGCGGCGCGGCGCAGCTCGCGGCGCAGCCACCTGGTTTGTGGACGCCCAACTACCCTCCACGACTATGGATGAATTGGATTGAATTGGTCTATCATGGTCTATCATCATACCCCCGAACATCTCCGAGTTGCTTGGGCAAGATTCGGGATGGCTAAGAATGACCCAACCGGTGGGAACGAAGAATGACCCCACCACCCAACAAAACGACACACACAAAAGGCCGCACAAAACGTCTTCTTAAAGACGTTCTTCTCCACTCTGTTCGTCCTCATCTCCAATGCCGCCTATCTCCACCGATGCCCCAACTGTTCTTCCGTCTCTGACCACGTCGACTCCCACGTCGAGTCGAGCGAACAGCACGCCAAAACTTTCGCCTCGGACACTCCACTGTGTGAAGGGCGCCATGAAAAGGCGAAGCGTTTGCCCTGCTTGGATGGGCGAAGTCCTTGGATGTACAAGTGATCATCAAGTGATCACAATCCATGCTGCCGCTTAAGGACATCCACAATGGTTGACAGCGAAAGGACATCGAAAGGATCCTCCCGTCAATTGTGGAGGAGAATCCTCTTGCACATGCCGCTTGAGACACAAAAGGATTCTCCTCCACAATTGTTGACAGCGAAAGTGAGCTTCATGAAATTGGGTCAGCCAGAATCCAACACCACCACCTGCAATCGGCAAGGAGATCCTCCAAACACGCCCTCCCATGCAGGTGTTCACTCACTTCGCACGTGATCGAACACTTCCAGAGCTATCGAGATGAAAATCGGCTCCGCTCCACCCCTGCCCACGGTTCCTCCCAGCTCAATCTTGGATTTCCGCATGATATATCGAACTTACAAAAGGTTCCCCAAACGAAGATTGACAATCAGGGCACCCTATAATGATCCTTCAAAGAAAACATCGCCAGACCAGCTTGATGCGAGGCACGTGGTGAGCCGGAGCCCTAAGACTTGCGTCCATAGAAGCACCCCGTCGCTGCCTGCCTCGCGCAGCGCCACGGAGAAGCCGCCGCCACTGCCCGGCTCAGTGCGCTGCTCGGAGACCACGGAGGCGCGCTCATAGATCTGGTAGCGCCTCAGAAGGTCTGCTAAACATCATCTTCGATGTCCTGTCGGTTGAGAACTCTTCAAAGCCTGGCCTGTCGCAGCCACCATGGGCGAAGGAGCAGGCCACATCGATGTCGAGCACCTCTTGCCCGATCGTGAGGTCAGTGGCCACCGCATCCAAGACCAGCTGGTAGGTGCAGGAGCTACCGGGGCATTGATTCCGCAAGCCACCTGATCTGCGAGAAAGTATGGGGGAGACAATCCCCAAGGTATTTCAAAGGATGCTCTGGGTCACTTTGGTTGGTGAGTTGGTTACTTGACAAACCTTGTTCTAGGCCAAATCAAGTTCTTCAGGTGGCTTCAGCTTTCGGGGTTTGCCTGCGCAGGACTTCGGGATTCATCGCGTGGATCAAGCCCGGATGTGATCTATAATGGTGGGATGACCCCAGACGTACAGCATTTAAAAAGTGCATTCAGGACAAAGCATGCCCCCGAGCGTTCTTCCGTCATGGACGTGTCTGAATTTCGACCAACCTGGCACGACTCAATGCCGCCCAGGTCACTCATGCGCTCAAAGAGGATGAAGAGCTCCCGCCTCACCCGTTTCACCGGAGAACATGCCAAACCTGTCTGCAACCCCGGCAGCAACGGGCTGCAAGCTAAGTGCTGGTAGATTCACCTGTTCAAGGGAGCTTCTGCTTGCGGGCGCGCCCATTGTCAGCTTCAATCGGAAAAGGTTCCAAAAGTCTTGGGTCTGGAACGTCTTGTGGATAGACATGTTACACTGTGCCTCAGGCAAAGGGGCTATATAAATATGCAACTGAGTTGCTGATGTGGCTCGCCGTTCGCGCCCAGGTCGCTCATCCAACAACCTAGCGAAAGCGTGCTTTCCCCTGGCAAAAGCTTTGCGCAATAATCTCGTTGGTGCAATGTCTTCTCAAAAATGTACTACATGTGTATATATATATATATAGTTATATACCATCTTGATCCCCAAGTCACTCTCTCAGCTGATCAGGCTTGAAACAATGATATCTTCTGTGCTCCAAACTGCTTACTTTGTTTCATGTCTGCTCCATCTCTGCAACAGGGTTCCAAACATTTCAATCCTCCGAACCGCCGGCAGGCCTGCAAGTCCATCCCAACAGTCATAACCTCCCAAGTCCCGCCCAATCCAGCTCCACCATCAGTCAGAACGGTCATAACTTCTCCAGCGCAAGTGGCTATACCCCAATGGCAGCCTTATCCTGCCCACCCATCCCACCATATCCCACCCAACCCAGCACCCTGCGCTCAGTGACTCACCGGCACTGGAAAGCCACTCGCCGCATCCGACCAAAGCTCGGTGAAGAGCGCGCCGCAGGCGCCCTGCGTGGCGCCCACAGAGGGGCCCGCGGGCAAAAGGCCTTGGAGGGGCTAGTTCATGAACGTCCACCTTGTGGGGGTTTTTGCTGGGAGTATCGGGTATGATCAGGAATACGACATAAAACCCGGGATGGGGATCCCAAGAAGCCGGCGAACAAACGTGTCCAGCACCCGTGCCCCCGCCGGAAAGAGGTTAAGGCCCTGGGCCAGGGGTGTGCATGAACACCATCCTGATCGTGGGCCCTTGGAGGAACAATGATTGAAACCCACATCATGCAAATACTCCCGATGATATGAAAGAGACCCGTTTGGTCAAAAATGGGCAACTGGCGTGTAACTCTAATCAGTCATCACCAATCCATCCGTCAGCATCTTCTCTGACTTGGAGTTCCCTGTCGTTTCTTCATCTCAGACAGCTATGGTGGAAAGTCTGAGCACCTGGGCCTAGTCCTCACCCTGTCCTCACCCAGTCCTCGGCCCAAGCTGTGGCCCTGGCTGCTGTTGAGGAAGCGCAAGCCCAGCAGCATGTGGCCAGTGGATTGTTCTGAGCGAATTCGAGTTCGTTGGGTGAGGTCGTCTGAGGACCTTCTGCAAACAACTGGGGCCTTCGTGTGGTTTTACCTCGTGTCCTCCAAGCAAACATCGCCGGAGGGTCAGATGATGTTCTGAAAAAACAATTCCGTGAGCACCGTGAGCGTTCGAACCTGCAGTGGGTTTCAGAGGAGATGGCACTGGCACCCCTCAATGTATTTGATTTTGGGGTCCATATCAACCACCAAACCCTCTGAAACCGTTGGATGTGGGCCGCCTGCACCTCCCCACCCCAGCCCGTCCGCCCCGTCCGACCCGAGCGGCGATACTCGACCACGGCCCGGGAGGGCGAGAAGGAGATCAGCACGGCGGACGTCGATCCACTGCGGCGGCTGGTCAATCCGAGGCGTGCACCTGGCGCGAAGCCGATGCGTTGTGACACGGTCTGGCTTGATTACCTGAGGTCCGTGGACTGCCATCTCCTGCCACTTCACACGCCCAGATCTATCCCTTTGGAACTTCCTTGGGTGAACTGACCGACACAACCGGACCATGCGGACCATGCGTTTCTCTTTTTGACCCACCCACCCAACAGTACCTTTGGGACATCTTTGTGGGGGGACCCACCCAACCCCTTCCCGGCCGACTCGCCCGCTAGCACCGAGCGGCCCAGGAGTTCGGGTGGGTCGGTGAAGCTCACTGTGCCAGCTTCGCTGTAGAACTGCACTGCACCGCCCTCGTTGGGCGCCCAGCAGACCTCGCGACGCGGCTTCGGGTGGATCTTGGCGTCAAACGTCTAAGAAGTGTATAGAACTTAGAACTTAACTTATGACTCATAAGGCTCATACAACATCCTGATATATACAGAAGTGTGGGCACACCTCTCGGGTCATTAGGTACGATAATCCATGATAGTCTGATAGAACCCACTCATGCTTCCTGGGTGAAAACAGGTGAAAGCCATCTACACAGGGCGTCCTTCGGCTTGCCAATTTCACCATTTAAGGCCAAACCTTGGCATACCGACCATAGAAGATAGAAATACATAAAGAATCACAAAGAAGGTTGATCTTGACAAACATTAGTACCCACGCCTCAAAGCACACAGAGGCACCGACACTTGAGGTAAGAACACCATAGCTTTCGCCTTACGCTATCTGGGAAAAAAGGTCCGCAGGCCCCACTGGTTCTTAAATCCTCCTCCCTCTCCCCGTTTCGACGAGACTCGGGGAGGTCAGTTGCCAAGCTATCTGCTTTCAGCTCCTCCTGTGCTGCAGAGCCGCAGGAAGCGGGCGTTTTGGTGGGCAGCTGCTCGAGCAGCGGTGGATCAAGATCAGTTGTAGTGGATGGAGAGGTGAGATTCACAATCCCCAAGTTGGGTGGTTTATATGGACCCACATCTAAAAGACACGTATAGGATCATATAATCATATAAAGGGTTTGTACCCCCTACTGCCTCTACTGTGAAACCGCTACAGTGAGAAACATGGATACAAGAATGAGCTTGCGCGCCAAGAGTGGACCTTAGTATGGTGGCAAGAATGTGTGTAATGAAATGGCAGGGACAGGGGCCTACTGAACAAGTTGTTGGCGCATGCAAACTCTGCTTCGACGACCACGAGCCCTGGCGGCCCTCCAGCCACGATAGCGACTCTCACGAAAAAGGGACTTGACACTCGACAACACCCAAAACCCAATCTGTATCAACCTGTCAATTCTTGAAGGCATTATGGACTCAGCAGCTCGCCCTCAATGTCAAGGCTGCTCCAAGAATTCCGATTTCTTCCACGCCATCCTTGGTGATCTCCCACCCCACCCCAACCCCAACCAAAACTCACTTGCGCGATTGTTTGGAGGCCGGTCTCCTCCGAGTCGAGGCGGTTGGCACGAAACCACTGCAGCTGCCCCGGCACGAAAGAGAACGCGCGGCGGGCGTCGGATGCCTCGGGCGGGGCGAACGATGCGCGGGACCCGCCGCTTCGGCCGCCGCAGCTACCTGCTCCCAACAATGCAGAATTCCATGTAGGCAAACCTCCATGCATCCGTTGGTTGAAGTGAGTTGGAAAATGATGGCGTGTTTCTTGATCCTATTTGATCCTATGAACATAAGGTGAAACGGGGAACATCCTCTATCATCCTCTGATCCAAAAGAAGCATGATCTAACCAACCTCTTCGGAAGTCAAGTCTGAAGATCCCTGAGTTCACTGCGTTCAGTCTATCATACCAGCAACCCCACTCCAAGCAAGAGCAAGGCCTAAGTGTTCTTCAGTCAGAGGCCGCCACGTAGCCATACGTAAACCGTCAATCCAAACGGATGGAATGATTGGGCTTTAAACGGATCCGGGGCACTCGAAACCGGATTTGGCTCCGAGAGGCCCAGCCCATCGGGATCCGAACCCGCTTGGACTCGTCCGAACTGCCCTGGACGTATGACGGGGGTGCCGGGTTCGGCCGAACCCGAACGGCCGAGAAAGCGAAGCTGCGGCATGAGGGAACATGGACTAACATAGTCATAGAAGAATCTTTTCGTGTAGGCAGTAGTATGTGTAGCTAAAACAGGATTGAATCATGTTGAATCTTGAGGGACTTTCTGGTGGTGCACGATCTGCTCTCAGCGCCAGGCAAGCCGGTGGCCGAACTCCGCGCGTCAAGCCAAAGCAGCCCTGCTTTTCGAACATGCAAAATACACCAACACATTGATTTCTTCACCATCTTGCAAGCCACCTTAGATTTATCATCTCTCGGCTGTGGTTATTCACCGACTTGCCGCTTGAGAGCCTCCCAACCGCCCGAAACCCTGCCTCCTCGGCTAGGACTTGGACGTAGTGCCAGTGTTGGAGGAAGAACTTGCTAGGATCATCCTGGATCTATCAACACCAACATCTGCCTCCAACAAACATGGTTTACGTGGAACATTGCCTCTTAGGGAAGAAGAATGGTTTCCTCTGCAAACCGGTGCTTTCCGTGATTGTTTCAGGTCTGTCCAAAGACGGTCTGTCAACACAACATGCTCGCCTGTTACAAGTCTGGCCGCTGAACTGTTGTGGTGTCACATAATTACCTTGTCAGAGACACCCCATTTCCGATAATATGGCCACTGGCTTTATGGAGGGTGGATGATGGTGGATTCTGATTGAATGACCAACACGTAAAGATTAGACAATAACATGCAGAAAGTACTGCGGACCGCTCACAACACCTTCCTGGCGCACAATCCGACATCATCCACCCCCTGCAAGTCCAATTTTCCATCCAGGGTTGAAACTGTTCAGTCAAAGACGTAGGTCCTCCGTGTGCGTGTGCGAAGGGTTGGTGGTCACTTACTCTACGTTCAAATCCTCAATCAGTGAAAGGCCACTAGCATCATTTAGCAACATATAAGAGCGGGACCAAAGAGCGACAGGCACGCTTCACAAAACGCCCGAGAAAACAATAGAAAACAAGGATTTTGCGTTCCAGGCAAAGGTTTTTTGAAGAATGTTGAAGATACCCCTGGCAGATCAGAAGATTCTTCCGCGCTGAAGCGTCCTGAAATTGGGCCATACCAGCCAGCAGCATTGCGTCAAACTGTTCGTCCTCAGACATGCTGTTCAGGCCCCGTCCATCGATGAGGATGCTCTCAGGCTCCAAGTAAATGGCATCTCCGTCCTTGATCGCGAAGAAATGACCATGACTAATCAATGACGGAGCAAACAGGTTCGTACACAACTCTTCATAAGCCCTCCCCTCCCATACTGTAAACACATTGATTACATCGCAAGCGGCTAAACATTGTATCTATTGATCCCCCTTGGTTGTCCCAGTGACCCCCAACCACTATATAGATGCTATTCAAAAAACCTGGGGAATGCAATTTCTGGATGTTTATGAAATCCTGTACCGACACTCCAAGTCATGAAATGCAATTGATTCTTTATACTTTACTGGTGGTTAAGGACCATCATGGATTGGCTCCAGACAATGCCCTTCCTAGGAATGCAAGCTGGAGTCCTTTTACTGTCTGGGCTGACGGACCGTCAAGGGTGTTCATTATGTCCTTCTATGTTCTTATTTCTTCTATATCCTTAGTTCGTTCTTCCTCCCCTTCGCAACCGACTCTTCCAGACACGCTGAAATATGACTTCCCGGCGGGAAATGCTGGAGCTCACTCACAAATCCGGAAACGGCGTTGATCGGTCAGGACCCAGAAACACTGCTCGGTCCAAACATGGCATGCGACACAAATACTGTATATGCTTATACTTATAAAGTACTCATAAAATGCTGTGTTTGGTCAGCTTATGAACAGCCTGGCTGGTCCGGTGAAATGTTCCTGCCATTGACCTTGGACCTTGCAACACAAACGGCCCACAAATTTGTATAAAAGCGGGGTTCACCTACAGGAGAGAAAAATATTGCGACAACAAACGGGGTCTGCTCGGCCTCCATGATTGTTTGAGGGAGGGTAAGTCTATTCATCACCTCTCAGCCAAGCAAATCGGCCCGAACGATGTCAGCGCATGGGCTGATGGAGCAAGAACCCCCGATACGTCAAGGGAGAAGAACGTCGATCAACAAGGACTCGCAGGTTGACAAACAAATACCTGCCGCATTCATACGAGGCCTCCTTCGAACTCTTTCAAATCCCAGCCCTAGCTTTGACAAATGGATTGATCCCCCACAACAGGCCCCCCGCCCCCAAAACACTCTCCGGGATTGAACCTCATCGCGGGTTTGATTCAAGTCGTCCACGACCAGACCGGGCTGCCCATCAGACTGTAGACTCACGGTCTTCACCAGGTCCACCCGTCATACTGGTCGACGCCAGTCGTTCATCAAACCCGCCCCATTTGGATGCGTCTTTCAGTCGTTCCCTCGCGCCGGACCGGGACCGCCCTGGACCCACAAGTGGTAGAGAGGGTATGGATGGGAACCTTTGGGGTGAAAAACCTCGATCTCGACTAGTATACATGGAGTCTACCATAAGTCCGCTGGTTATGGAGTCTACATGGAGTCTACAGTATGGTTATGAATCAGGAGTCTACCATCATCAGTCCCCTCATCAGTCCGTGCAAACCCTCCAAGGAGCTTGCAGCAGGTGCCCGATGGGCGCGCTGAAGGTCAGGATGCTGGAGGAATCCGACTCCACGTGGACCTCCAGGAGCTCGGCGCCTTGGAGAGCTCTCTCCGAGCGTCTTGGACGCGAAAGATGACCAGCAAGTACATGGTTTTATGATATGATATGGGACACTTTATAAGGACAACTTGCAATTGTTTCCAAGTCATCAGCTGCCAATTCACTGTTTCACCAAGTTTGAAACAGTTACACGTGTGTTCTTCCAAGTGCAATTTCGAAGCCTGCATCTCTGGAGATGCCACCCACTTTCTTGTTCATGTTCCTCAAGTGGGTATGCCATTTCCAGAGCACCTGGACTCCCCTCGGAACGACATCGGCTTCTGACCCGCCCTCCGACCAGCAGGGCACCAGACAGCAGGTTGTTGGCCACACGAACCTCGATGGTCTCATCCTCCAGCGCCACGCGGCAGGAGCTGTTGCTGCTGCAACCCACCTGGAGATGGCCAGAGCCAAGCCCTTCACCGATTTTTTGGAGGTGATACACCGAGAGACGTTCTCTTGTAGACATGGCACGCAGGGGGGCCCAAAAACGCCCACATAACTTCGGCCAGCGTGTGGAAAAGTTGCGAGCTAGGCCGGCGGCGTACCCACGAGCGACTCCTGTGGGGCACAGCTGTTGTGGCATGTTTGTGCGTACAGCGCTCCTGTTGCACTTTCACCCACGCTGACACGCCAGAGAAGTGGTGGAAACTGAAAAATGGTGATCAACATGGGAAAAACCACTTATGCCGCAAAGGACTCGGCAAACGGGTCCCATGCCTATGCGGTCTCACCTAAGACAAGCAGCAAACAACATCAAACATGGAACATGATCGCCTCCATGCCATGATGGGTGGTCCAAGTCCAAAGACTGAGTTTTCCGATGCGGGGGAGCTAATCCCCAAATTGGTTATATGAACGATGTTATCCACTTCTCCTGAGTACAGTAGGACCACCATTCCACACCATCAGCGAAGCACCTTGTAAGCGCTGCTGCTCGGGGCGCTGCTACAGCTGCTGCCCTTGTCCAGCAAGCGCAAACGGTCATCCACACGGAAGCCCCAGCCTGCCAAAGCCACCGGAAGCTGTCTACTCCACTGCTCTGAAGAGGTACGGTACACTAAGGTAGAATGCCACTGCAACTAGACCAGAGCCACCTAGAAAGGAGAAATACATATATCATGCATCACATAGAAGAAATATAAATAGTATTTTTATTGTCTTACTTGAAATCTGTAGGGGGACTTTGCCACGATGAATGGCAAGCCATGTCATGCCGTGTCTGAGTTGATACGTCAGCCTCGATCCGGCCCCTTTTTGAACAAACATGTGCCAGAAAGAAAAAGGATGCCAAGGGTGTAGGACCGCCAATGGCTCCAAATCATTCGAACACCAATCTTCTATAACTACGTGATGAAAAACCAGCATAGTGTAGCACGGCATAGCCAGTCAATAGCTATACTACTCTGACGAACACATCACACGGATAAGTGGATGGCACCACCTATTTGTAAGGGAAAACATCGTCTTCCTTTCGGGCCACTCGTCTTCCTTTTGGGCCCATGCCATCCACTTCCATGCTAGTCAATAGCTTTACTCCTTACATCTCCTCACCCTCCCTCCAACAAACATGGAAGCTGAGTGCTCACCCCTTCGTAGAGGAAAAGAGTCTTCGGGGGGCCCAAGCTCCACTTCCATGATTGCTTCAGGGAGTGTAGTGTCTTTTTTCTCTTCTTCCAGATCTTCCAGATTTGTGTCCCCCACCTTGGAGGTCCTGTAGGCCCACCTTCTGCCGGGTCGGGAGCACCCAGCGGTGACCCGGCTGTGGCCCGCTCACCTGCAACAAGCCCAAGTAGAACCTGCCGAACGAGTGGTTCAATCGCTTGAGGTCCGCAAAAAAGCTGGGAACTTGTGGTGTTGCTGGGCACGTTCTTGAGCTTTCCTTTTGGGACGGGTGCAGAGGAATCTCTTGGAATCTCTGAGGGGTCGTTGGATGAAGGAACTCCAAGGGTAGGCCCGCAGCTCCGTCGCGAGTGTTTGATGATCTTTGTTTCTCTGGGAAACAGCCGGCAAAGAAAACGGGAAATGGTATCCCTACTCCTTAGGAGGGGGGGACCACCAAAAATGTAACTTGCATTTTCTGGGGGGGCGCCTGAAAATGTAAATGTTACATGTTAGGACAAAAATGCAAGTTACATTTTTGAGGTCTATAATTGTAGGAAATCAAGTGCTTTTCATAAAAATGTAAGCTGATAAGTGTGAGGAGTGAACAGCAGGGTGTTCTCTCGCATTTTTTCAAACTTCTCCCCTGCGAGTGCTTGTACTTATGAAATGTGTGGTTCATAAGGAGTTGGTCTTCCCATATTTCCGGGGCATTGTGCATTCTGCTGCGGAATCCTTGGTGGTGCAGTTGTTGCGCTATGCAATGATCCATCAAGTCTGAGCAGGGTACCAATTGTCACCGCCTAATGATCACTGCCCTCGGTTTCGTTTTGTATCACCATAAGTTCATGAACTTCTGAGCACATCAGAACCGTAATTCGGTCAGTGCCCTGTGGCAGCACGCGTCTCTAGACACCACAGCGTCTCACCGACAGTCATAACCGCCAACCCCGCCAACCCAGCACTTCCCGCCCCGGGCCATGTTCCAGTACACGCATCGTCCGTCAGCTGCGCACAGTAGCAAATCACAAGCGTTCCAGCCTGAAACAGTGGGCGAAGGAAAATCAGGATGCTGTTCCATCAAATCATGGCACTTAGGAGCGCTTAGTAACTATGGCTCGCTGCTACTGGTCATGTAATCTTGGAACATCTCGGCCACATCCAACTTTCGCACACTACACTCAAACACCTCGACGGAAGCGAGAATTACAGGACCTGTTTCTTGTGGCTTGGTGCCACATGTCAACATGGCCACCTTCTGGGCCATGGGTGGATGGTTTCTAAGAACCTCCAAGTTCCACACCCTGAAAAACCATGGCCCGGGCCATGGCCAAGCGGCCGGGCTCGGGCCGATGTGTCCCCCTCCGCGGCCTGCAGCTGAAGAGTTGGGAAGCTCAAGCGTTGGCTGAGCTCGGACGTCTCCCCACGGCCTTCGGCCTAAGGTGCGGGTGGGTGAGGTGAGTCTGGAAGCCCTTCCATGAACACATTGCATTACATTACATGTTATATATCATGTCATGGGACCGAATGTGTACTATAGCAACATAACATACTAAACATATAGGACAGAATGGGACAGAACGTCATATATACATAACATACGATAGCATCACTTAAATGATTCATACTGCGACACCCGGTGACACCCGGTGACGTGGACATTGTGGGGTGACAGTAGTATGTTGTATACGGTATAGAACTCTGTGACCAAATACCGTTCTTTATCTCATACAATAATGATAATATGTGCAGTATGGTGCAGTTGCGCAGTATTGTGCAGTAATGTCATGCCTATCAATCTTTACAGTGCATCAATGAGATAATAATGATATATGAGTTCATAATGTACATAGCTGAGTATATAAACATATACAAATTGAACGCATATGAATATATATATATACATAATTATGATTGTACATGTATATCTATAAAATGTATATAAACATGGTGCGCGTGCCGCTATTACAAAAGGACGCAGCGGCGTACCCTAGTCGGTCGGGCAACCATCTTCCAACATCTTCCAACCCTGTCCCAACAATGGTGAGCAACCCATGTCCTTTCCTCCCCCCTGGCCTACGGGCCCTACGGGCCCTACGCTACGAGTCCTCCGAGCGAACAAATCGTCGAAAACTCCAAGGCCCTTCAGCTGCTGCATGTGTTTTGTGTCCGAGGAAAGGTCCAGCGATATGTTCTCCCACTCCCACCACACGAGGCACCGTCTGGCACCTCCTTCCTCACCTTATGTATGCTCAAAAAGATGCTGTTGGAGATGCCAGGCGGTTGCTCAACTTGATCAATCTGGTCATCCCCACGGTCGATTCCCTACTGGCCCTGCTCGGCTCGTCGCGCAAGGCCCGTAGGCTCCGGTGCCGTCACCCAATGGTCCAGCCAGGCTGCAACGAGATGATCGGAGCGGCCGCAGTCCTGCTGCAGTCCACCCATCAGCTTAGCCCGGCCACTCTTCCTTGGGCATCTGGGTGAGCTACAGATCTGAGTGCATTGAACTACTCCAAGATGGTCAACACCTGAAATTGTCAGGGTGCCTGTAGCACAATTTAGTACATCATTGGATCATGCTTGTAGGGGAACGTCATCTGAACTGTCCACACGTTTCAGCTTAGATGTGAATCTTCAGATTAGCTTTGGGAGAATGCAGACTGAGGAAGTTCACTAGGCTTGGCCCAAACATACTGAGGAAGTCGTTCACCAGGGCACCCGAACTGTCGAGCAGTTGACTCCCAGTGGCATGCGGGCACCCTCCCAAGCTGTTGAATAGAAAGAGTGAGAATTGGTTCGCTCAGCTGTTCAATGCTGTTGCTCTTCTCTGGCCCCGGAGCGAAACGGACCTGACCTCATAGCCTGAGGGTCTGTACCTCATAGCCTTCAGCCAGGCTCACCACTCCGGCCTGACATCCAGCTGAGAAAAGGACTGACCAAAAAATAGAACTAAAAATATCGGCAAACGCCCTCAATAATACATTCAAAATGTAAAGAATATTTAAAAATGCCCTTAAACTTGAACTCTGTGTCTTTTGCATGGGGAGGAAGATGTGGCAGCCTCTTCTTTTCGTACAGTACCTTTTCTTGCCACCCTTAGTTTCTGACACCACTGTGCATGTTGGGTCACTATGACAAGGAGATCTCTCTTCATGCTGTTCCAGATGTGCTAATGCAAACGTATTCCCTTGTCCGTGATGATAAACCGCCAGCTTGCACGAAAGTCCAACTACTATGGATGTCCAACTGCTAAGACCAGCACTTAATCTTTATCATGAATCATGGGCTCAATTGGGTTCATATCTTGGCAGTGCCCCACAACCAGAAAAATGAAACACCCAAAGGTTCACTTCTTCCTGGCTGACCCTCTTGCCGCTCCAGCCACTGCCACGTGCCATTTTTCTCAGGGTCGAAGCTTAAGCTTGTCGCGTCGCGGAACATGGCGGTGACACATGTGGCCCATCGAAGACGGCCATCCCCGATGGGTTGGAAAGTGTTTTTGATTGTTTTTGTCTCATCTGGTTGATGCAGTCACACGCCACGCTCGATCAACTGCAGAATTTTCACAATGGGTGGATCTGGTGCAAGGGGATACCTATCAGAACACCACTTCCGCAGGAGGAAACCACTGTTTCCAGCATCCTCACTGGATCCTGTGACCGAGCTCTTTAACTGGGTGCTTTGGCTCATCTTGGATCAAAATGTCGTTTCTCAATGTTGCTCACCGAGCTCTTTAACTGGGTGCTTTGGGTCTTGATGGGATGGCTTTCCAACCTCTTCAGCTGGGGCATTCACAACCGCGCGAGCGCACGCGATCTGAGTTCGTGTTCCCCGGAGGGCGCCTTCGCGTCCCGGGACGGTGAGACAGGCGGCGTGCGCCCCGGGGACCGTGAGGCAAACATCCTCCATTCATCCCGCTTCGGGGCGCCGATCATCAGCTTCGGGGCGCTGATGTGTTCTGGCTTTAGTTGATTCTTCGGGGGGGCGCAGACCCCCCCAAAAAAAAGGGTTCTTTACAACACCCAGCCTCCCAACCAAGCTGCATGTGCTGCCGTTTTTCGGCCCCAAGCTGTGGATCACAAGGCCCACAAGAAATGGCCGGGCTCCTGGTCCCACTCTTCGGTCGCCTATTGATGCGGCTTGCTCGATGGCCTCACATGTGGCGTCCGAGGTGGAAAGGGCGACAGATCCGGCGGCGCAGGCTCCGGCAGCGTGACCTATGGCGGAGTGGACCGCTGGCGGATCGCTCGAACGGATTTGGATGCCCTCCCAATTGGGGTCAAGGTTAGACTCTCGGTGGATTTAAAGATGTTCATGAAAGGTGAAGTATGGTGCCAAATGGTGAAATCATGCATCAACAGTCCCCCGGAACAACACTTGATTGACCATCCAGCACATCCAGAATGGATTTCCACCAGTTTGGGCCACAGTTGACTTCGATACGAATAACATCAAATAACGATGCATGCACGAGATGATACACATCGTGGAGACCGTGGGGAATAGCGGGGGCTCTTAAGGTGTGATGCTTTTGAGCCTCCAATGTGGGTTGCCACGAGATGGGCCACTACCCACAAACCCACAAATACATATCAACACGAGAGCACCTACAAAAGTCAAACCTGCAGCTCCACAAAATACATGGATAACAAAGGTTCCACTAAGAGTTTTCGGGGTTGGTGCCATCTACTCTGAACCACCACAATAATTATGTAGCTATACAGGAACTGATTATAACAGCACGACTTCATTCTTAGCCAAAATGTTCTATCACAATGCCAACGCGGCGGCACGCCGGTCCGAAGAAAGGTTCGGAGAGAGGTAAGGAGGCCGGGGGTGTCCATGTTCCACTTTGTTTGATTTAAACAGTGCTCCATCAAGTTCCCGTTGACCACTTGCTAGTTGCTTCATTCTTCACAAACACCCACCCGGTCTTCCCTGTTTCCTCCATCGCCGGGCAAGCAACGCCGGTCAAGATCTCCTCCATCGTCGGACCCACCAACTGCAAACGCTCAAGGACCTTCCTCTGGCGTGCCCAGAACTCCTCGCCGCGGTCGAGCACCAGCCTGTGGCGGAAGTTTCAGCTCAGTGCCGCAAGACGAAGGTGATGTGGGGTGGGCCCCTTCAAGAGAGTGGAAGGGCTCTCCAAACCGGCCTTCTTGATCCTTGCTAGGGGGGTCGAACCCAAGGAGCCTTGCAAGCCGAGCGGTCGGTCGGATGGCCGAGTGAGTCAACCGAGCAACTCCTCTTCGGCATAGATGGGGTTGGTGGCCACCACGAAGCTGTAGGGCCATCCATGCCTGGTTGGTACAAAAAGAATTAAGTCCAGTCAGTTGGAATCCATCATCCCTAAATATATAGTATCCCTAGTAAAGGTTTCTGGGTTCAAAACTCTGGAAAAAAGACTCTGAAACCACCACCCAGGTGCACATGCACATCCACAATCTGCACGTTCGCCTCTGCCGGCGCCAGCACCATCTGCTCGTAGGACGAGGCACAGATGCTGCTGGCCGCCAGGCTGGCCGCTATGGGCGAGTCAGGCCCCCGAGACATGGGCGCTGACATGGGAGGTGCGAGCGAAGGAGGTAGAGATCCTCAGTGCAAAATCTGCCCCACCCGCGACCGACAGCAAATAGAACAAGGCCGAAAAGTGAATGTCCGAACGTCGATTTTTGGAAGCTGCAGGCCCGGCAGGCCCCCCCCTTGTAATGAAGAATCGCCCTTCGTGATCCCCAAATCCGGTCAGGTAGGATCCAGGCCCTAAGCAGAAGTAGGTTGCTGAGGCAACCTTTCGTGATAAACCCTCCCCATGTGAATTGAACAAGCTCTTAATATGGACATCCCTTCACCCCTAAGGAGCTTTAATTGGACACCCTTTTTGGGGGGTGCCCTGCTATGGGGGGGCTTCTTGATTCAGCGAGTCAAGAAGCTCACGCACACCGCCGCTCGGCGCCTCCGCTCGCCCGAGCCGAGCGGCGGGAGTTGATGCGGGCCATCGCCGAGCGCGCCGGCCACAGGGGCTCCGAGATCAAGGACTGCTCGGCCAGGGAGGCGTCCGAGGGCGGCGGCAGCAGCTGAGCGGTGCGGGCTGCGGAGGTGGTGTAAATCCACCGCAGGCTCGGGTGGTGAAGAGGGTGGTGAAAAGGGTGGAAAAGGGCCGGAACAAAAGGTGGAAGGTGAGGTGAGGTGAGGTGTTCGGTTTGAGAATTTGGGCTGCCCCCAGGTGGCTAGAACATCTAGAAGCTTGCCTCCAAAGGGATGCAAAAGGACATCTAACACGATAAAATGATGTGATAAATTGTATATGTGATGCGCTAATATATCAAATAAAATATACTCATATGTTTTGTCTTGTAAAGTACTTCCAACAAGACCATCAGACCATCAGAACCTCCCCCCGGCCTCTGAGAGCTCCAAGGGGTCTTCCCGACGATCACGCAGGAAGCGCAAGCGGTTGGAGCTGCCCAAGGATAAATCCTCGAGTGACCAACATGGGACTGAACCGAACATTTATCCGAAGTGAATCTATATAAGTGCAGCTTAATATGGAATCCCAAAACCATTGGGTTGTAGAGGGAAATGGTCTTCCACCGGTTAATTCTCGGGTTCCATGTTAGTTTGCGGGAGAGTAACATGATTAACATCTGGTGTTTCTCCTCCTCGTTGTCAAACGGGTCTTTGAAAGGTCGAAAGGTGGGGAATGGGGCGTTCAAAGGGTTGAAGCATGGGGCTTTCACGTGCGAAGTGGCACCTCAGCGACGCGAGGCAGTTCTTGTAGGAATCACTTGGTGATCGAGTCATGGTTTAGCTTTTGTTCATGGTCACATCGAAAGTGACAATCATGGCTGGTCTGTTAATGTCAAGAAACCTGGCGAATGTTCATATCACTTTACACTGTCCGCAGGGTCAGTGGCACATCCCTGAAAGTGATCACTGAGTGGGACAGCGGTTCAGCCTTCACTAAGCAGGGGCCACAACCTGGCCTTTCTGGAAGCATGCGCAGGTAGCTTTCTTGGTCAACTCCACTTCCACAACTCAGGCAACACTTGAGACTTGGGGGAAAGAATCCCTCTTCGGATTCTTTTTCTCCAATCTTGCTTCAAGAGCCGATTCCAGGCTTCTAAGAGTCACAGAGAGACAGACACAGAGAGAGAGAGTCAAGAGTGTTCTCAATTTATCCAGATAGATGGGCAGAATGAAAGAACAGATGCTTCCACATCTCCACCCGAGCACTGGCTACAGGCTTGCCCCCCCCCCAATCCAAGCACCTTCTACATCACACAACAGTGTCGAACACATCACCTTCTGAGAAGGTACGACTGGATCCCTACAGTTCTCTATGACAGGGCAGACCCAAAAAAGAGACTGAACCCCACTCTTCGGGCCTTGATGGGGTGTGCCTTAGGGCCTTGCCGGGCACCGAATGGCTCTCCAAGCCCAAAGAATATATATATACAGTACATTTACTCTGCGGGGCGGTGGAGAAAAGAGGGAAGAACCTTGCAGTTGCAAGAGGGTGTCTTGGATGATCTTGGATGTCTCAACCAAACCTGGCCCAATCATGCAAAGCCTCCGTGTTGAATATACTCTGCGGGAGATCTCTCTACGGCACTCTCAGATAGATTGTGATGGGAAAACCTTTGGCTTCATGGCGAACATCCTCTTCCAGGGATGTTCATCTCAGGTTCCATGTTTCCCCTTCGGGGGCTGGCTCTTCTGTGTTCATATTACGCTCCGACTCACTGACATGGAAGTGGAAAGCCCCCATATTAGAGAAACTGGGTGTAAATATATGTATGTACAAATATCCATAGGCATGCGTATTTAATGTGTTTATGTCGAACTACTGTCTCCAACGTGTGGGTGCATTCCTCAGGCGGTCCCTGGGTCATTCAAGGTCTCAGGTGGT